GCAGGCAACGTCTTTAACTGAATGTGACCAACTTGCAGTCACCTTGCCCCATGTCAATGTCGCCAATTTAATTACTAAAACTTATCCATGCTTTTTAATGCCATTTCAGTACTATCAAATCAGCGTCGTTTTCATCCACGATCATTTTCTCTTTCTACATCCCAAAGCATTTCCTGGCTATACTTAAGTCACAAGCGAGTAATTTGATTGGTCTAGAGCGGATTTAAGGCGATAATAACTAACCAATCACAGACTGATACAATCCTGTGCAGATTGAACCAAAGACATACAAGTGAATATCACTTTTTCATCCAAGTTAGAGTTTGGTACAGTAGAGTAAATCAACGAATTACAATGCATCATACAGTTGAATCGTCCTTCTAGGACCCGTCAATGATGTTACATCATACAGCTGTTTCGTCCTTCTAGGACCCGTCAATGATGTTACATCCTTCTAGGTCTCGTCAGTGGTGCTACATCATACAGCTGTTTTGTCCTTCTAGGACTTGTCAGTGATGCTACATCATACAGCTGTTTTGTCCTTCTAGGACTCATCAGTGATGCTACATCATACAGCTGTTCGTCCTTCTAGGACTCGTGATACTGCATCATACACATAGAGCATTTGATAGTAAGATCTTCCATCACACTATTGAGATACCCTTGGAAACAACTGTGCACCTGTTTTGGTTGACACTTTTTTCCACACCAGTTGAACTATGAGTACAGGTTACAATGACGAGTTCTTAAGTTTCACTTTAGATATATTGATTTTAAATAAGAAAAGATTATTTGAACATGTCCATCATATATACTAAACAAAAAAAGAAAGGTAACACTACTTTATTCTGTGATTAATTAATTAACCCCTTCATAAATCATTACCAATCATGTACGAATAAAGTAATTGATCAATTCTGATAAAACTGCAGTCATGGTTCATTATAAAACTTTGCGTTCAGTTGATTTTATTCGACTGTAAAGGACGTTGGGGTCAATTTCAAAGGTAACACCATTAGCAACGGGTATGGCTACCGTTTGCGAAGTAAACAGCATTGCAGCGTCGTCGCATGGAACTCGTAAACCGGCGGATAATTCGAGGAGAGATGTTGTTCCATTCAGCGATCAAGGCTTGGGCCAGCTCCTGCAAGTTTGATGGCTGATTTTGACGTTCTCTCACGCGTCGCCCAAGAACGTCCCAGACATGCTCAATCGGTGACAAATCAGGTGATTTAGATGGCCAATCTAACACCTGTACGTTATTCTGCTGCAAGAAAGTTCTGCTGACGCGACTGGTGTGCGCTGGTGCGTTATCCTGTTGAAAAATGGCGCCAACGCCATGGCGTCTTAAGAATGGCAGAACCACTGGTCTGAAAATTTCGTCCTGATATCGAATGCCGGTTAAATTGCCATTTAACACAACAAGCCTGGTACGAGTCCCCCGACAAATACCACCCTAAACCATTACACTTCCGCTTCCCGTTCTGCGACGCAGCAGTTCGCAAAACGCTCCCCTCCTCGCCTCCACACTCTGCGCCTTCCGTCACCGTGTTGCAGACAAAACCTGGACTCATCTGAAAACAGAACATTGTTCCATTGTCGTAAGGCCCAACGACGGTGAACACGGGTCCAGTTACGCCGATTATTACGGTGACGTCGCAACAAATTGGGTCCAGTGTAGGGACGCCGCGCTTTCAATTGGTAGGCCCTCAACCTGTTGCGGACTGTTTGGGGAGACACACGACGCCCAAACAATGTCCTTGTAGTCTCTACTGCGGTTACGAATCGATTGCGCAAGTGTATCAATCGTATACGACGGTCATCCCTGGCGGTCGTTTTACTGGGTCGGCCGCTTCGGGGACGATCGGATGTTGACCCAGTTTGGTTTAAACGACTTACCAACTTGCAAATTGTCTTCACTGCAACCAAAATGCCGTGCAACTCGACGGCGAGACTCCCCAGCCTGGATCATGCCTACAGCCCTTTCTCTCTGTACTGGTGACAGCCGGGGCATAATGATAAAGTTGATAGATAGCAAGATTCGGTGATTTCTAAGTCCTAAGGATCTAAGGAACCAGTTTGAATGTTTATGAAATTCAAACGAAGATACAAGTTAGTCGCAGAAAACCTCGTGCAGCTCTTTCGCTAATACAGACTTTCACGCTTGAATGATTTTGGTAACCCCCTTGGCTTTTGTAATGTAAAACATTACCATTTTCTAATATTGCACAAACGTCATTTTGTTTTCACTCATTTACAGATATTCGCCAAGGAAACATGTTAACCTTTCTCTTTTTGTTGAGTAGATACAAACCACATTCGGAAATTGAATGACACACTCTTCTAAATCACACACTTACCTCAATCTTTTCCAACAACAAAACCAATAGGTGGCAACTTTCTCAGAACCAAACTTTCTGATGAATGTTATTACTACAATATATCCATATTCACATTCTGGACTCATTAAGTTCTGCAGATTATGCAGTTAAAGGCAATTGTAGTGCTGATTTCTAGGCAAACTGTTTGAAAATCTTGAAACTGAAAGTTATTGTCGTGTGTCTTGTACATGAACGGGCGGAATGTATCAACACGTCACTATGACTTTTCCATGTCTGCCAATTTTTAACATTAGATATATTGATTACAAGAATGTTATTGACCTTGTTGTTTTTGTATAAGACAAGCCAAATTGGGAATCACACAATTTCTACTTCAGCCACTTTCACCCATCTTTTTTCCTGTATAGTAAACGTGATTTTAATTTCGATACATTATATATTCTATTTTTAGATATCAACATCTCTGCTTCCCTAACATATAGTGTTTACATGTACAAGGGAGTGTTCCCTAAATGACATGCAACATTATCTGTTGCATTTTGTGATATAAATCTGGACATGGTCGTTAGTTAGTCTGTTGGTTCAGTTGTTATGTACCTTGTTCTCATTTGAGAACCTGACATCACTTACTTGGACTGACCAAGGTTTACATAGCCAGAACTTCGGAACCCATGGCCTTATTCTCCTTGTATTTTTTCAGGGGTCTCTCTGTTGCTTTGTCCTATGTGCATATTTTGCACTAGTTTAGTTGAGATTGAGTTTTAATTAAAACCATTTTCATACACTTATTTGGAAAATAGTAATACTTTTTGTAAACAAGAATAACAACAACTTTGTCTATATCCTGAAAATGCAACATTCTCAAAAAGAGAATTTCATTTGGATCACTGGAAGTCATTAACAATACAGTAAAACACGTTTATAACGAACACGCTTACAACGAATTAATGGTAATAACGTAGTGTTTTTCATTCCCCGTCAATCGCCCTATCATTTACATGTTAAAATCAAAATATATAACGAATTTCAGTTGAGTTTGAGTTTTAATTAAAACCATTTTCATACACTTATTTGGAAAATAGTAATACTTTTTGTAAACAAGAATAACAACAACTTTGTCTATATCCTGAAAATGCAACATTCTCAAAAAGAGAATCAAGACAGTAACAAGACGTCATTTGGATCACTGGAAGTCATTAACAATACAGTAAAACACGTTTATAACGAACATGCTTACAACGAATTAATGGTTATAACGTAGTGTTTTTCATTCCCCGTCAATCGCCCTATCATTTACATGTTAAAATCAAAATATATAACGAATTTCACATAACGAATTAATGTCTATAATGTAGCAGCTTTTGGGTTCGCTCAGGTGAATATCTGTGCTAATTAATAACCATATAACGTAGTGGTCTCGGGCAGTCATCACACCTGAGTGAAGTCAGCCGTGTGTCCTGTATCGACACCCGTGTCCAGGTAAGTTTCAATTACATACAGGTAAGTCTGACGAATAAAGTGAGTTGTTGTTATAGTACCTGCGTTCTATTGTTTTTTGAGTTTTGAGTTCCTGAACTGATCTTATCGATACAAAATCTTTGCGTTCTGTTCTTGTCGTCATTTTGGAAATGGCTTCGTCATCGCCGTCTCGTAAGCGGAAGGTGTTAACAATTGAAACCAAATACCAAATTATTGTTTATTAGGACATGCTATACATGTAATAAAATATAATCATGAAATAAGACCCCTTTATTTTTATTGTATGTACAATTCCTATAACGAATCATGCGTGACTGTTTGCCAAAATTCGTTATATGTGTATAACGAACTATGTTTGTAACGAACTAAATTTCTTGGTCCCTAGAGATTCGTTATAAACGTGTTTTACTGTACTCATAAATATACCTTTTTTTTCAAAAACCGAGATGTGATTAAAAAACCTGTCAGCCATTTAGTGAAATAATTGTCCTATCTTTTCTCCTTTACTTCGATAGCCTTCTTGTTAATCTTTTGTTTTGTTCATTCTTTCCTCCTCTTTCATGAACCTACGATTTTATAAACATGCCATTATCTTGTTTTTGCATTTAAACAGTTATTGTTGTCTTTGGTTTCTAAGCAATCGACAAATGAGAATAAGTGATGGTCCCTAGTTTCTGATCACTGTTATGATAGAGAGGACATTTACAAACAAACACCTGGGTAAAGGAATCTAATTTTATTTTTCCACAATTTTGTTATTTGCCACTTCAGAGACTTTAATCAAACAACGAAATAAAGGGAAAATAAAATTAGCTTACAGAATAATGAGCTGTGATAAAAAGTTTTCAAGGCAAATTGTTCAGTCTGAAATAATCCCTGTTGATAAATAACTCTCTGCTAAACAAACCGAAAGTTGTTGTACCATGAAATTGATATAACCAGGGCAAGCCATGAACAAAAGAAAAAATTCTTACAGAGCAAAAAGTACAAGGAGGTATTTATCATCATCTGCTCCATTAGATACACCTGTCATGAAGGTCAACAGAATATTTCCAAATGACAAGATGTTAATCAAAAATAATTCCCATGGAGAATTAAAACTCATTTCAAAAAAGGAAACAGAATATTTCCAAATGACAAGATGTTAATCTCGAGGGGAAAAATAAGTTTTGTATTTGCCGTTTTGTCCAATTTTATTTTTGTCACTGTACATTATGTACATGTTGTTCTATACACATTATTGATTAAATACACTTTTGTTTATTTACAAAAAAAACACAAAGTAACAAGACTTCATCAAACAACATTAAAGCCCTTTAACTTAAAATGTTTTGTATAAAGCTGGTCCCTGAAATCATAGAAATCATCAAGATTTTTAACCCATACAGAACTTTACTCTGCGGAGGAATATCAATGAGAGTTTTGTTCAATACCTTCCTTATGGTATTAATTGACATTAAATTATGTAAAATGTTTGCTTTAAACCAAGCAATTGAAATCAAATTCATTGCAAGGAGACTTTCCCTTTTTTATTTTGAACAACACTTTTCTTATGATATATATATAGCATTCTAAGATGAAGCATTGCATTATAATTCACCATATATGGGTGTATAGGATTTAGAGGCGTTCCAGACACGCCTAACTGATCCATTTTTGTTGTAGAGAACAAGTGTTTGGTTCTACATGAAGAACTTGAACTTTAAAAATGATGTTGTCTTTATCAACATCCATATTTAACCTTACACCAATATATACAAGTTTCAAATATTTGTCCACTGCGACATGTTGTCCACTGCGACATGTGTTATATCAGATGAACTGTACCTATGATAACACCATTATTAATGAGAAACATCAACACCACAGTGATGTATATCACCAATCATTTTTAACCTTACAATCAATGATTTGAGTCATGATCACTTTCATATCTAAGGTAACATGTCTAAATTCTTTAAAAAAAAAAAACCCAACTACAATAAGGATCAATTGATCAGCACAAATATCAAGCTTTTTTCCTCCAAAATTGCAGAATCTTTCGTTGAAATTTTCGATAAATATTTTCTTGCAAAACTTTGCTGTATTTCTTTCCCCTTTATTTTGTACTTTTACAGATTTCTGTAAGGATTGCTATAAGGAAACTGTAACAAGGATGCTGTCTGATAAAGGTTATACAGTGATGAAGTAGCTTCTAGCACATACAGCGTATCACTGATTACTTGACATATCATGCAGATATTCATCATTTCTCACAACCAATGTGAAAGTGCTTCAAATGGTCAACTTTGATCAGGAAACTTATAATCTTTAAAGAGAATGAGGAAATTCAAACTCTTTCTACATTTTATTAAGACATTATGAATATACGAAATAGCTAAAATATATCACCTTCCAGATCTGATTTTCATATCTTATCTAGCTTTGGTTGAATTCCATACATCATGTGACCAAAACAACTAGCACTAAGAACAACCATTACAAATGAAAAGTGATTGAGATAGGGGAGACAACCCCGACTAAAGTCGGATAAAACATATTGGAATGTGGTAATTCTTTCATAGAAATGTGTGTGCCTGGAATAATAATGAAGTTAATCAACAAGTTCCCTATATCAAATGAATATTTCTCTGAAAAGTATCACTTTGTACATTTTACCAATTTTTAGTTAACAAAACAGAGTTTTTTGTGAGAAGATATAAACAATTCATCTGTTTACTTAGAAGAAATTCACATCAGATACCATGGAGATATTTTGGTTCACAGATACTCTTTATATTTCTTTGTCATTCGTGAAAAATTTCCACACAATATTTCTGTTTTTCTTCTTCACGCGATTAACAGTAGACTTAATACATTTCCTGTCCTGTCTCTCTAGATAAAACCAGCTTGATTTTATCAAAATGAGATGTTTTCCTTATTAATATGAACTCCTTCCAGTAATAATGATAATGTTTCCTGATAACAGACAATATGCTGCATTACTTGGAAAGAGTAACAAGGATTTGAATCACAGATAATTTGTTCATTACACTAGAGATGTGGTCCTATCGCCGACTCTGGTCCCAAGCTTCCTCGTCAAACGGATCAACCTGTCGTGCTGTATATGCCGATTTAAAGTCAGATCCAAGCATGTCAAGGTCCTTTGTATCACGAATGACGCCCTGTTGGGAAAAATAAGACAGAGAATCATTAAACAGTTGAGGGTGTTTTATGATATTTCGATTCTATATATCATGTGTTCAGAGTTGAACAAATTGTAAGGAATTCTAAACATTTTCAAGTAATTTTAGGATAACAGAATCTGCCTCCATATGTATAACACAAGGAAATGATTTGATAAAATTTCTAATTTGTTCATTTATGTTGCTATACCATATCAATATGATTGCCTGCTTAAGATTAAACATCTTGGCTGACACCAACACAGTATATCGAATACTTTCCTAGTGGTTGGTTTCCCAGGACCAGTTTTATTTAATTTTGCCTACTTATATGGTTTCTTAAATTTCAAATTTTTATTCTGAAAAATCCAAGTAGTCTGAATCCTGTAATTGGAAAAATTTGATATTCACTTAAAAATTGTTAATTTTATGGATCAGACTATAATGGAAAAATGTATGTCCTTCCTCTCTCTATAAACTTACTTTAGGTAAGTATCCTAGTAATCGCATGGCATGTTCCTGTAACAATTTCTGTCTCTCCTCCTCGATTATCTGCCTCTTGAATGCTTCCATCTTCTCCTCTTCACGACGTTCCATGAGTTCCCTCTCGCGATCGGCAGCAAATTGTGAACGCCTGTCATCAATCAATTGTTCTACGGCACGTTTGTGTTCTTGCTGTTTCATGCGGCGTTTGGCAGCATTCATTTGTTCTATGCGGTCATCCTCAGCAAATTTGGCCAACATCTAAAAAAAATTGTCATGTAAGGATAAAAAAAATTCACAAAACCTAAGGTTGATTTAAATAACAACAGTGACTAGGCCCTGATGGGTACCTGTACGTCTTTGTATTCCTGACTAGGCCCTACCCTGTACCTGTACGTCTTTGTATTCTTGACTAGGCCCTGACCTGTACCTGTACCTGTACCTGTACGTCTTTGTATTCCTGAATAGGCCCTGACCTGTACCTGTACGTCTTTGTATTCCTGACTAGGCCCTGACCTGTACCTGTACGTCTTTGTACCTGTACGTCTTTGTATTCCTGAATAGGCCCTGACCTGTACCTGTACGTCTTTGTATTCCTGACTAGGCCCTGACCTGTACCTGTACGTCTTTGTATTCCTGACTAGGCCCTGATCTGTACCTGTACGTCTTTGTATTCCTGACTTGGCCCTGACCTGTACCTGTACGTCTTTGTATTCCTGAATAGGCCCTGACCTGTACCTGTACGTCTTTGTATTCCAGACTAGGCCCTGACCTGTACCTGTACGTCTTTGTATTCCTGACTAGGCCCTGACCTGTACCTGTACATCTTTGTATTCCTGACTAGGCCCTGAAGGGTACCTGACAGTGTATCCACTGTACTTGTTTCCATACCCACCTAATATTTTTCAGTGACCTTGACCTTAATGACTTGTCAAACTCTTAATGCATTTACAAGTTAGGAAAGCTTTCATATTATCTATTTCAATTTTAGGTAAGTAGAAGTTGGTCACAACAGACGTAGAGGCCGGGTTCATCTATCTATTAATTGTTTGACTGATTTCGCCCTAATTTGGCTTCATCAGGACATACATATAATCACAATTTAACCTCTAAAGTACTAAAAAAGAACATACCTAATTCATTGTTGTTCTATGATGTCACAATAGTGGACATCTATTGAAGATAAATAACTGTAGTTTTATCCCAAATTGGGGCCCTGTTGTTGGTCAGAGGAAATTTTCAAAAACAAATATTACAAAAAAGAAAGAATTTTTTTCATCACTGAGACAGGTCAGACTGATATATTTTAAGTGATAGTTTTACTTTGAAACTCTTTGAATTTTCAGTGACAAGAATTGAAATATTCCACTAACCACTTATTAACTCTGACAAACCTTTGAGCAACAGGGGCCAGAGTCTCTGGTCACCTAATACCACATCAGATCAGAGGAAGAGAATCCTTTAGGTGAAAGGAAACACTGTGTCACACAGGAGTGACATGTAATATGATACTGATGCTGGTCTAGCTTACCTGTTGTCTAAACTCCTCCTCTTCCTCCTGCTGGGCGGCCTTCCTTAGGTTCTTGAAGTGCATTTGTTGAGCATGTGTCTGTTGTAATTCAAGCTTCTGTCGTATCCTGGCCTCAATGTCATTCTGAGAAGGAGAAAAGTTAAATACTATCACATGACAGCATTGATTTTCCATCAGTTCCTGTGATGTCTTGACCGAGATTTTGATGTTAAAAAAGTCCTGGGCTTATTACAATTTTAGTGAATGTGTTCTACTTTTTCTATGTGTAAGCTGACCTTTGTATAAAGTGTACATGTCTTTCCAATCTTGTCATTGACTTTTTATTTCAAATTCCAATGACCCGAACTGGTAATTTCTTTTCGACATTATCAATAACAGGATGAGAAAACAAATATTTCACTAGTCATGTTTAGATTTATGCAAACATTTGCTGTATCAATTTTCACATTGGAAGGTTTATCAATTTCAGAGACAATGCAAGCAGCTTGCATTCGTTTAATTTTCAACCAAAATTTTCTAAATCAATGTGTTTGTAGCAAAGCAACCCAAAAATTTGTATTACTAGTCTAAACATGTACATTGGGATCAGACAGCACCAGTCAAAACACTGCTGTATACACTAGAATTGTACATACCTTCTCCTTCAGCCTCTCCTTCTCCTCTTGTTCTTCCAGGTAGAGTTCCATGCGAACACGCTCCATCTCTTCACGCTCAGCATCCTGCCTGGAGATCTCTCCAGCCAACTGGAAAAAAATAGATCCTATTCAGTACCTTCAGCCTTTTCAATTAAGCTTGCTAATAACATTCTTTGACAAAATTTTGTGATAAAAAAAACAAATAAAACAAAACAAATTGACAAATACACAATAGATTCTCCTGGTGACGTTAAACTTTAATACTTTTCAGCAAAATATTGATGTATATTACAAATTAATATATTTTTGTAGTTCAAACTGTCCACAGAACATTTTAGTGATTGGACTTACAGCTCCTTGGACCCGAGCCATGGCGTCCTCTTTAGCCTTCTTTGATTCCATCCTCTCCTTCTCTCTATCCTCCTGTAGCCGAGCGAAGGCACGGATATTTTTGTTTTCTTCCTCCATTCTTTTCCTCTCGAGTTTTTTCCATTCCTCACGTGCATTTTTGAATTCTTGTATATATTTCTGTGTGGACTTCTGTTTGGCGAGTGCAAGTTCTCTTTCTCTGTGAAAACATCATTACATTCAATTATTTTTCACTGTTCTAGCATTCAATTTGAATTTTCAGAATCTCGATTCTTATATCTACTAGAAACCAAGAAGCTAATCTGCCTTCCTTCTCAAAATATTAAACCTTTAATATGTTTCGTAAATCAACTTATTGTTTCTTGTTCACATACTGCAAATTTATAATTTTTAGGAGCCAAGTTATTGTTATACATAGTAATTCTGAGTTCTTTTGCACATTTCTCTTTAAATAACACACACGTATACAAATTCATATTTCAAATTACTGTAAAAGCCCTGGAATCACATTTCGAAAAATGCTGCTGGCCTGAATTCTATTTTCAAAAACTGATTTTCAATAAATTGCTCCAAAGTATACAAGAAGGAAAGACAGGAACAGATTGTTTGATTTCTGGATGTAAGCTTTTGAATTAAACTCCTTGCTTTTAATAACATTTCCCCAAAGTTTTTTTCTGTATATTGATTTTAGTGTGTACTAAGTTGCAAATATTCGGGGCAGCATAAACACAGTTATAGCTATCTACAATAACCCTACCTCTGGTCTTCCTCGTAGATCTTGCGGACAATCTCATCTATCATGAGTTTCTCCTTAAGGAATTCCTCGTAAGCCTGTTGTTTCTTGTGTTCCTGTTCTTCCAGCTGCCGCTCCAGTTCCTGCTGATATCGAATTTGTTCCCGATATTGCTCCTTCTGTCGCTGTAACTCTGCCTCCTGGGCACGCTCATGTTCCTCTTTCATGTTGCGTGAAATCTCTGCATCTCGTTTCTGATGAGCAGTAATTTATTTATTAGTGGACAGGGCTATGATAAGTTAGCAATTCATTTTCCTTTCTTCCCTATCATTAAGAAATCATTTAAAAGGGTATTTCATCTGTCATAAATGCTTTCTCTTTACAAATTTACTAAAAATCAATAAAATATTCATCTTATTTTGATTATCTTATAGGAAAAAAACATTATATTCTAAATGTGATAATTTCTACTTTAGGTCAAAAACAAGCAGTCTATATTGTCCCACATTTTCCCCCAAACCTTTTTTCCTGTCACACAATAAGTCCGTATTTCAGCCCAAACTTTCTCCTTATTGCCAGGAGGACACTATACCAGTATTTAAACTTACCGCTTTGTCATATTTTAGAGCTTCCTTTTCTGCAATCTGTGCTGATCGTTCTTTGTTCATGTATGCAGACTTCAATTTGGCCTCTAACTCTCGTAATTCAAGACTGGAAGTAACAAATTACAACATTAAGTTTGGAATAAATGTCAATTGAAAGTCTAATTTAACAAAGACTATATACTTATCAAAACAAATATCATTCAAATAACCATATTTGCAGAAACTAAATAATATATATCTAGATCTATAGTAAAATATTTGCAAATTACATATAACACTTCCATTTATCATACACCTACAGTCACTATATATCATCATTAGAATGGTTCTTTAAATCAAATGTACCATAAAGATGACTTTACCCTCTTACATTGGAATTTTCAAGGTGCAGTGCTCCAGATAGCCTGCGTGAATGCGTTTTCACGCACAATATTTCTAATTTCACGCTAGGAAAAAAAATAAGATTTGCGTCATTAACCCGTGCGAAATCCAGACTCTGCGTCAATGTCCGGCTCCAATATTACGTAGTTAGAAAACTCAATAATCTAAGTCAAACAGACACTTATCGAGTAAACGAAACTCGTAACAAGCGCTTTCTTGATCGTGATTATAAACCAGTCGCATAGCAAATATGGCGCTGTCAAAAATGTTTACAAATTCAGTGTTACCCTAATATGGAAAAAACCCATACACTTGATGAAGGCAGGGGTGAAAAAAACCCTCAATTTATAAAGGTAGGAGTGAAAACCCCACATGTCAAAAAGTTATCCGGAGCACTGAGGTGTATTTAAATATCCACATCTCAGAAAAGCACAAATGCATGCACCTTCCTTAAATTTTTTGAATAATAAACAAATTTTACTGATTGTTTAAAATCTTAATGTGTAGGGTCAGTTATCTCTTCTACAAAGGGAAGGCTGATATGTGAGACTGACCTTGTTTCTCTGATCTGTTGCCTCATCTTCTCATCTCTCATAGAATCCAGCTTCCGCCTCTCCATCTCCTTTGCCAGTCTTTCCTCTTGGACCATCTGTTCTTCTCTAATAAGTCGGTCACGCTGAGCCTAAACAAGGGAGATAATTAAAAGATACAAATAATTCTAAACAATAGTAAATGTCTTAACTTCATAAAGCAGCAAACTTTACTGTACTTGTTAACCTGGATACATAAAAGAAAATAAGCGCAAAAAAATTATCCATACGCTTCATAATTTAAAATTCTACAAAAGAAATGGCTCTTTTTACTGCCAACAATGGTGTTATAGCTAGGTATACTGTATACAAATAAAATACCTTTAAAATAGATTCTTCCATTTCCATTTCTTTGTGTTCTTTCATTAAGTTCCGTAAATATCTTTTCTCTGTTAATTTACGTTCATTACACATATTGGCTTCTAAAAGGCGTTCCTGATTAAGACGTTTAATTGTGTCTTCTCGAATTTCTCCTTGACGTCGGCTTTGTTCCAGTTGCCTCTCTCTGTCATAGGAGGTCAGATTCCTCCTTGTTGTTGTCTAAAATCAATGATTAAGTATTAGTTCAATAATTAAATATTTAAACTAATTGCCTTAAACTAATTAAGTAGCATATAGTTTCCATTCTCTTGGTATCTTGACATTGCATATTTGAAAAGCCTCAGATTGTCATATCATTATTGAGAACCAAAATTGTGCAAATGATCAGAACAATAATTATGAGTACCAATTCCTGGAAACTGTAAGGGACACATTTATGTATCAACATGTGCCCCCCCCAACCTAGTTTACTTGACTTAGTATTTACTAATGAGGAAAACATGGTTGAAGATCTTGAAGTACATAGTGCATTAGGATAGAGTGATCATGGATACATCAGATTCACATTTGTGTGTGGTATTGATATCTCAACTTCAACAAAAAACTTAACTTCAACACTATAACAAAATATGTGAAGAGCTAGATTTAAACTGGGACAATAATTCAAGGGGAGATAATGTCAAGGAAAATTATTATCTATTCATTGACAAATTATTGGAGGCATTTGATAGACATATCCCTATATCATCTTTATGATAATTATGGTAGTTTTAACCTTCTAAGATGCTCCGGGTATGGCAGATTTTAGAATCCAGTTAATTGCTTTGTTGCTCTTCTTTGCAATCCTTCGATCATGTTGATGTATTTCATTTTGGAAGGAAACCAAAACTAAGAGGGACTATATGAGTAATCTAGCACGACAAAATTTGAATCTGAGTGTAGAGACCTAATTAAGTCCTACATTCTGAATCGACTCAGTAAGACTTAGTAGGAAAGTAAGTAATAGTTTTTTTGAAAAAAATTAGGCGGAATATAATCAAGTTACGTTACGTTGAAAGATACTAATGGGTAATGCAATCGTCATTTATGTTTGCAATCAAGGTATGGAAGCTTCCCTGTGTAAGGTATGTCATGAAACAAAGGAGGAGAAACATTATTTGACATACATATGTGTAGCCAGTAACAGTGTAAAATTGATATCACTTCAAATACATTTCTACTGTATCCTGTTGTCAAGTTGAAAAGACAGTTCCTGGTCACTGGATAATTCTGGCAGCAGTTAAGTATGAATTGTTTTAAAAACATCGCCTACTTACCATTATGGCAGCTTTATGGTGTCCCAATACAGAAGGAATTAATACATAAACTAAGTTAGTTTGGGGCAACAAATTCTTCCTTTGGCGGCCACCTTGGATGCTTGTTGTTGTCAGGACTTGGTGACGTCAGTTGCTAGGGTGAATAGGTTCATAAATATTGCCAATGAGTTGAACATTTCTTTCAACTTTGCTGTGTTTGATGATTATATGAACTGCATGAAATAATTGCAATGACAATCTTTTAAGAAAATTGTTAGCTTTCCTCGAACTGTCCAGGTTGTGTTTATTTTTTTCACTATTTTCTTAACTCCCCCTTTGGCTATAATGACCCGATCCATTCGGTTTCTGTAGGCCCGCAGCTTGAAATTTATATTGGTGTGTGGTATAGTCTAATTGCATAATTACTGATTTTTTTTGTCTTAATTGTTATAACAGATTTTTGTTCAAGTAGAGTAATTAATTGTTTGAAATTGTTTATTTAAGTTTCGAGACTGTAAGAAAAATAGGGTAAACCTAGAGGCCTAGCGAAGTGATATCGCCATTACTCGCACACATACCTAAGTGCAAGAGAGCAACGAATGGATCAACGCCATTATTGACACATAACTGTTATCGACCGACAAAACAATCCGTCATAATCACGATATTTTTGAAGCATCACTTAATCATAACACGCTAAGGTATACCACTGACATTTTATATTTTACTCTCCTGAGTATAAAGTTAAATGGTGCTAAATTTAATAAGTATTGACGGTTTCAAGTAGACCGGTTCACGTCTAGTTAGTTCTGATTGGTTTGTTACGGACTCTGCACTTCGTACAGTACTGATGTATTTATTTGCGTATAAGTATCAGATATGATTTTGGAACGAAACTCGCACTTTTGGCTTTCATTCGTTAATTATGTTTTGATTTTGCGTCAAATTTCATCGAAACTCAATTCATAAATAACGTTCATGGTCCAGAATTATCTTGGCGTAGGACAAATTTGTGTCGCCTCCATTTCTAGATGAAATCCTGCATCCAACATGAACCCACTCAATATTTCTCTCAGTTGAACAATAGGAACTTTGTAAAGATTCCAAAGAAAGATTGAAAATGTGACAAACATGACCCGGGTTCCAAGGTCTTTTGTAACTCCCTCAACTCTTGCTCAAAAGTCAATCTAATCAGAATGCACATATAATTCATGTCCGTTTATATAAAAGTAAGGCGTACATTACTCTACACTTATGATCGGACAACACTCCATAAGGGGTCATGTTCTGGTGAACTGAGGCACTCGGTAATTTTTGGATTCGAATATTTGATATTTTGCTCCTTTTTTTTGTGGGACTCCCTTAAATTTTGAGCACCATTTTTTTTATTTTTGGAAATGGTGCACTGAAATTGTCTATTTGAATTGAAGTTTTCCTTTGCAACATGTCATTACATCACAAAATTTTTATCAATTTGATAAGTAAGTTAATATATAGGATTGTGCAAGTGATTTTGCTTTCGTTTGGTAAACGGTAAATTGATAAGCAATTTACTCAAAAGTTTACTAGAACTTGATCCCATGGGATGTTGTACTGTCAGATTCTATGTGGAAAGTAACAGAGTGAGAATGAGGATATGCATTTTAAGATCAGGTAAAATGTTTGAATTCCAAAACTTTCTCCAGAACTGGAACACAGTGGTCTTTAAATGCTGGAGTTAGTTTGTTAAAACTGACTGTAAAACATAGGTTTTGTTGCTTAAATCTGGAGACTGCAATGGTGGAAGTTTTGCATGAAAAGACAAATTTTTACCAATATGTTGATTAACTTTACTGTAGCTTATAGCTATAATGGCTTGTAATTGTCAGATTCCAAAGATATGAGAAACTTGGGTTATTACCAATTATAAGTACATATAATGCCATTCAGATGTTCTACTGCTTTCACTGTATCAGTATTATTGAGCCATTTTTTCCATGGATCACATAGTATTGTAGTATTACACCAAGATGTTTGATGGTAATATTCAATACATTTGTCATTTCAGTTGTCAAAGATGTCGCAGATTCCTGCCAAAATAGTGCTGAAAAGCACTACAAAAATGTCCCTGAATGATAGGTGAGATTGATGAGAAAGGAGATGTCATTGGTGTTTTGATGCTTGTAATATTGAGGCCATTCAGGAAGAATTCAAGCATTGCAGTATCCATGATGATCTCGAGGGAGATGACTGGAGAGGAAAGAATGAATCGCATAATATGCCAGGAATTTTGTGGCCATTTCATCATGAACTGCTATCACAAAAAAAAGTCTTGAATTATAATGCAGTTGGGTGAAAAAAACACATGGTTTTACTCAATCTCCATTGGGTGTCAGATTACCATGGTTACATAGGTTTATGGCAACATTTTATGAGTTTGCCATAGAATGGCCACAGGTTCTGTTGCTAAGAAGTCATTGTTTCTTCTTAAACTGTTCAAGATGAATAGAGCTAAAAATACCATCATGATGAGCATAACACAAGCTTGCGGCTTTGAGCTCTTTAAAGATGATGTTCATGTTTGTCAGTTTTCCTGACCATACTTGAACAACGTATCAATAAGAAATGATTATGAAGAAAAGAAAACAATGGCTGTAAGAATTGTGCATTATATGAAGGGACTTTCAAATCCTGAAAATCTCCTGTCTTTTATTTCTCAGATTGTTTTTCTGATCTTTCAGTTTTGGTCTGTCCTTATTTCATACTTCCAGTTGATACAGTTGAATGAAAGAGTCCTAGAATGGTTTGCATGAATCCAACAAAATTTTGAAAAATGCAAGTTGTAGCATTTCTGATAAAATTTGGAGTATTTTTTTGTTTCGTTTTCAAATTCCAAATACTTAAATTCTAAAAGTTTTGTCATTGTAGTTTGATGTCTGGTGTATGACTGTTTGAAAGGTTGATGAATTAGTTATATTTTTACTGGTATGTTGTTTCAGAACTCCTCTCCATGTAATCCTGTATTACTACCTAGTATGTAATGTTTGCATCGCGACCCAAATCTAACAATAATTTTTGTTTTGGGTTCTTCTTCTACTTTTAAACCTGCTATATACTTTAGATGGCAAGAACTGTTTCTAACAAAATTCACCTATTTAATTTCTAACAATGCATGCTTTCAGTTCTCCTTGGTAGAAACTTGTAGCTCCAGATTGATTTAAGAAAATCTCTAAAATATTGGTTCAGCACATATTCAGATTTTCACAAACTATGTTGGTAGTTTTCATATCAAACCTTGTATTGCTTTACACAAAATATTTGTATTTTAGTGTTGGAATTAGTTTCAGATTATTTTTCCATTATCTTGTCATTTCGTCACTCGTTACATCAGATTAAAAGAATTGTTCTTCCGTATATTGATCTCTTGATCAACATTCTTTTCTGCTTCCATCAAAGCTATACTCAGATTCAAGTTGTCACAGATTTCCTTTGCTTTCTTGACATGTGCATTATAACCAGCTGTTTAGCAATGCTAATCAGTGGTAAGTGTTATGATCACAGCTTTCCCATCTAATTATATCTCTGATCATTCCTTTATTTCAGAAATTCAAGAGCCATTTCATTAGTGTAGATCCACATGATTCTGACTGTCTATTTCTTTATTTCATGTAACTTATCCTGCTGTTTAGTCTTTCAGTGGTAAGTGATATGTGCATGAATTTACTCTGTCATTATGTTATTTACATTCATTCTCTGTTGACAAACTTTCAGTTTTGGTTGATTACACAGATTCCTCAGTTTACAAACACATGGATTTGGCTGTTTGGTTATTCTTCTCTGTTGACATAAGTTTCCTTACTTTTCTCTGTTGACACACAGTTGGTTTTGGCTGTTTGGTTACAGATCTTTGGAATGTCTACAAGACTTTATCATGGATTGTCATTAGTAAAGAGTTGTGTGACATAACTGGTTGTTTAGTACATTTTTGTATGTTAAATTGTTCAGTGGTAAGCCTTATAGTCAGTCTTGTACCAAACAGAGGATTTTCATGTGATATAATTACATATATATTCCTTGTGTGAACGTCTCTGTATTTTATATTAACAGATTCTTTGTTTTTGTCTTGATTTTTTTTCTTCTGTCACTTTATTAAGTTCATGAGTATTTTGTGCCGTGAATTTTTGAATTTATGGAAAAAATCTATTTGTTCAAGAAATGGTAGGTCATTGACCTTCATTAAAATACCATGTATGGTTGTATACAGTTTCAAATATTTTGCATGAGTGTTGATAAAAGATTTGAACAGATACTGTGTTGTCAAAAAATTCATCTTGAAATCTTTTCATCATCCGATTCTGATCCTCTCCCATTCAGTATCGCCAACTCAAAATAAAAATCCTTCAAAAAATAGGCAGAATGGTGGAAATATTTTCTGTTTAAAATAAAAATCTGCTAAATTGATGATAATCTCTTCTATGATAAGGTATACTGAGTAGTGAGGAATTTTAAACCTTACAGTTATGTCATCATTTTAAATGAAACAGAATATGCTGAAGTGGATGTTACATGAGATATAATCTCTGGGAAATAGGCCACAATGGAAGAACATTGAAATATCAGCCCTGAAGAATTATAACATGTCCCTGACCCTGTTCCCTAGCAACCCAACAAACATTCTCTTTCTCATTGGATAAAAAATACTTTCAATAAATGACACCACTTGTAAGTGATAATGAATTATTTTTCCAATGTATTTGAAATTTACTAAGAAAAAAAGAAATTCAGGTTGTGTTTGGTAATTATTTATGTGTGCGTTTTCCTGGTCGCATGAATACACTCTCAACCTGCATGTGTTTACTGGAGTGCAGTCATTGAACTGTTTTGGGAAATTTTCTTGTTGAAATCTTTTCTTGTAGATCTTGAACTCTTTCTGCAGTCTGTTGGAATTCTGTCCCACATTGTTCAATTGCACATGGTGTATATGCACAATTTTGGTATTTGTTAGAAAATTATTAAATATACAGCCAAAATGCTTTTGCTCAATTAACATCCATGCTCTGATGCCATGGAATAATCTAGATATTTGAGATCTAGAAGAAAAAAAGCTCTGACATAGATATAACTGACAACCTGAGAAAATGTTGTAGCAAGTCTGGATGAGAAATTCAGACGAGGTTGTTTGTTGAAAAGTTTTGTACACAATCAGAAGCAGGCATTGATATCATTGCTTTCCTCTCCCAACACTTGAAGATTCACCAACATCCAAAATACAAGACCAGCCCAACAAGCCACTGTCCAGAATATACGCGCCAAAATGGTTGCCCAGCAACAAGCGTCTGTCGCTAACCGTCGTCTGGCTCTCCAGATGGCCAATAGACCCACCGTTCAAGCAGCCCTCAGAGTGAAGAAGGTAAGATAAATATTATGATAGATAGGTCATTTGAAGAAAATTTTAATATATGGTCAAAAAACTAAGCAAGCACCCTTATAATTGAGTCTTCTAATGCTTTTCAAAATTGGCCTCCATAACCTCGATATGTGTTCTAGCACCTTTGTATAGTAGTGTCCACTGGTCAAGGAAACATTGGATCACATGATCAGATCATGTAACCAAGTTTAGAACTGCCAGATTTAGTTGATTTATTAGCCCACCAACATCAGATGGTAGGCTATTCAAATCACCCTGCGTCCATGGTCCGTCTGTCCGTAAACAATTCTTGTTACCGCTATTTCTGGAAAAGTACTGGATGGATCTTTCCATCTGACAGGCAGTCATCTGGTAGGCTATTCAAATCACTCTGCGTCCATGGTCCGTCTGTCCGTAAACAATTCTTGTTACCGCTATTTCTGGAAAAGTACTGGATGGATCTTTCCATCTGACAGGCAGTCATCTTGGATTTTGAGAGTAAAATCTTGTTACTGCTATTTCTGAGAAAGTACTGGATGGATCTTTGTCAAATTTCATATTGAGCTTCCCCTTGGTCCCTAGTTGTGCAGTGTACCTTTTTTGGAGTGATTCAAATTCAAGATGGCCGTCTGTGGGCCATCTTTTATTTTGAAGTATAAGTTTGTTACCGCTATTTCTGAGAAAGTGCTGGATGGATCTTAGTCAAATTTCATATTGAGCTTCCCCTTTGCAGGGTTTTCCATAAAAGCCGGTCACCGGCCAATTTGACTGGATGGATCTTTCTCAAATTTCATATGCAGTTTCCCCTTGGTCCCTAGTTGTGCATTGTACCTTTTTTGGACTGATCCGAAATCAAGATGGCTGACAGGCAGTCATCTTGGATTTTGAGAGTAAAATATTGTTACTGCTATTTCTGAGTAAGTACTGGATGGATCCTTCTGATATTTCATAGATATTGGTTTCCCTTGGTCCCTAGTTGTGCATTGTACCTTTTTGGACCGATTTGAATTCAAGATGGCTGACAGGCGGCCATCTTTTATTTTGAAGTAAAAGTTTGTAATCGCTATTTCTGGGAAAGTACTGGATGGATCTTTCTCAAATTTCATATTGAGCTTCCCCTTGGTCCCTCGTTGTGCAGTGTACCTTTTTTGGACTGATTCAAATTCAAGATGGCTGACAGGCAGTCATCTTGGATTTTGAGAGAAAAATCTTGTTACTGCTATTTCTGAGGAAGTACTGGATGGATCCTTCATAGATATAGGTTTCCCTTGGTCACTAGTTGTGCATTGTACCTTTTTTGGACTGATTTGAAATCAAGGTGGCCCAAAGGCAGCCATTTTGGAGGTCGACAGTAATACAGCACAAGCATATTGTCCATTATCCACTTGTAACTGACTATCTAATAATACTTTGGGATCTTTTTTCAAATGATATTTGCTAATAGGTGCTTAATAAAAATATCTTGTGCCATCATTGAGTACATTCAATGAAGACCAGTTCACGAACATTTACAACACCTGTAACAAACAAAAAAAATAAACAAATCCCCAAGAACTGAAAACAGATCCTCAAATGGTGGGCGCCAAGATCCCACTGGGATCTCTTGTATAATGATGGGGAGCCTTTAATTATTTAGTGTTATATACTGTACAACAGATGTCATGGCCGACTGTCAGTCTGTGTAGATTTATATAATGATGGGGAGACTTTAATTATTTAGTGTTATATACTGTACAACAGATGTCATGGCCGCCTGTCAGTCTGTGTTTATATAATGATGGGGAGACTTTAATTATTTAGTGTTATATACTGTACAACAGATGTCATGGCCGCCTGTCAGTCTGTGTAGATTTATATAATGATGGGGAGACTTTAATTATTTAGTGTTATATACTGTACAACAGATGTCATGGCCGCCTGTCAGTCTGTGTTTATATAATGATGGGGAGACTTTAATTGTTTAGTGTTATATACTGTGCAACAGATGTCATGGCCGCCTGTCAGTCTGTGTAGATTTATATAATGATGGGGAGACTTTAATTATTCAGTGTTATATACTGTGCAACAGATGTAATGTCATATAAATAGCATGGTGAGTGATTTTCTCTGTCTCATTATGGTTATGAATCAGTTGTGCACCTCTGTAAGTATGGTTTAATTAACCATATAAACCATAAAAAAGTAGTGGAACAAAATTAGTTACATTTAAATTAAAATGTTTTCTGTCTTTTAGCAAAACCTGAAGCAGAGACTTGGGGTGAAGGCCAGGCTAAATCTGAATGCTGTCAGAGGTGGAGCTGCCAATGCTGGCGGTGATGGACGTGGGCGTGGCAGCAGTAGAGGGATGAGGTAGGGTTTTGTCTTCTTGACTTCGTGTAATAAAACTTTTTCTTTTGATCTTGGTAGGTTTTGCCTCTGTATGTATCATTCTACTTCTTTTGAATGAAATATATATTTGTCTTTCAATTTTGATGACTTATATCGCTGTAACTTTGTGTATACTGCAGCAGATCTTATCAAATTCATTGATAAAGCATCTTTCTATTCAGAACAAAACTATGTGACCTAATTTTTTCATCAGGAAATGAATCGCAGTGAACTATTGAGGTGGTACAAATTTTGATTGCAAATATTTTACTATGATTTATTACAGAGGACGTGGAGGATTTCGAGGTGCGCGTGGACAGAGAGGAGGAAGTGGTCAGCAGGGCATGAGGCGAGGACGTGGTGGTGGAGATGTTGCCAATAGGGCTAGAGGAGGATTTGGACGAGGTATTAACAAAACAGTGCTTCTCGTCTTATTTAGTTGTTAGCACTCATGAGCCACAGTTACGTTTTAAATTTTCTTTTCGGTCTCAAAAATGAAAATGTCAATTTTGAAATCCGAATTTTAAGGGAAATTACTTTTGTTACTTTAATGGCTATTGCTGAAAAAACTGATTACCAATCCAGTGACATTTTAACTGAAATACTTCCATCCAAGGTTTGGACTTCCTGTTATTTTCTTTTGTGTACATATTATTAAATTGTAAGGATGTTATCTATAAACACAACCTTCACAGAAGAGATGTCTTTGATAATGAAAAGCAGTCAAAACGAAAATAGAAAATATCAGGGAATGCTCTGTAAATATTTAAAGAAAACCTCCAACTTGATGTTAACAGGCCGTGGAGGAAGGGGTAACTTTCAGAATCAAGGTCAGGAAAATTCTACAGGAGGATTCCGAGGGGGCAGAGGCAGAGGATTCAGGTAAGATGATGGATGGGGGCTCCTGATGGGAGTTCTGATGGCATGTTACAGATTTTCATGCAGTTAGAGTGATTCTTGAGAGGTATAGGGTCTGCTTAACAGCAAACTCTACACATACACCACCTGATAGACATCCCTAATGTGACAGTTTGATGTAACACACTTGGAAGTTGTTCATAATGTCAGTTTGATGTAACACACTTGGAAGTTGTCCATAATGTCAGTTTGGTGTAACACACTTGGAAGTTGTTCATAATGTCAGTTTGGTGTAACACACTTGGAAGTTGTCAATAATGGCAGTTTGATGTAACACACTTTGAAGTTGTCAATAATGTCAGTTTGATGTAACACACTTGGTCAATAATGACAGTTTGATGTAACACACTTGGTCAATAATGTCAGTTTGATGTAACACACTTGGTCAATAATGTCAGTTTGGTGTAACACACTTGGTCAATAATGTCAGTTTGGTGTAACACACTTGGTCAATAATGTCAGTTTGGTATAACACACTTGGAAGTTGTCAATAATGTCAGTTTGGTGTAACACACTTGGAAATTGTCAATAATGACAGTTTGATGTAACACACTTGGTCAATAATGTCAGTTTGGTGTAACACACTTGGTCAATAATGTCAGTTTGGTGTAACACACTTGGTCAATAATGTCAGTTTGGTGTAACACACTTGGTCAATAATGTCAGTTTGGTGTAACACACTTGGAAGTTGTCAATAATGACAGTTTGGTGTAACACACTTGGTCAATAATGTCAGTTTGGTGTAACACACTTGGTCAATAATGTCAGTTTGATGTAACACACTTGGTCAATAATGTCAGTTTGATGTAACACACTTGGTCAATCATGTCAGTTTGATGTAAAATACTTGGTCAATAATGTCAGTTTGGTGTAACACACTTGGTCAATAATGTCAGTTTGATGTAACACACTTGGTCAATAATGTCAGTTTGGTGTAACACACTCGGTCAATAATGTCAGTTTGATGTAACACACTTGGTCAATAATGTCAGTTTGGTGTAACACACTTGGAAGTTGTCAATGATGTCAGTTTGATGTAACACACTTGGTCAATAATGTCAGTTTGGTGTAACACACTTGGTCAATAATGTCAGTTTGATGTAACACACTTGGTCAATAATGTCAGTTTGGTGTAACACACTCGGTCAATAATGTCAGTTTGTTGTAACACACTTGGTCAATAATGTCAGTTTGGTGTAACACACTTGGTCAATAATGTCAGTTTGGTGTAACACACTTGGTCAATAATGTCAGTTTGATGTAACACACTTGGTCAATAATGTCAGTTTGATGTAACACACTTGGTCAATAATGTCAGTTTGGTGTAACACACTTGGAAGTTGTCAATGATGTCAGTTTGATGTAACACACTTGGTCAATAATGTCAGTTTGGTGTAACACACTTGGTCAATGATGTCAGTTTGATGTAACACACTTGGTCAATAATGTCAGTTTGGTGTAACACACTTGGTCAATAATGTCAGTTTGATGTAACACACTTGGTCAATAATGTCAGTTTGGTGTAACACACTCGGTCAATAATGTCAGTTTGATGTAACACACTTGGTCAATAATGTCAGTTTGGTGTAACACACTTGGTCAATAATGTCAGTTTGATGTAACACACTTGGTCAATAATGTCAGTTTGGTGTAACACACTCGGTCAATAATGTCAGTTTGTTGTAACACACTTGGTCAATAATGTCAGTTTGGTGTAACACACTTGGTCAATAATGTCAGTTTGGTGTAACACACTTGGTCAATAATGTCAGTTTGATGTAACACACTCGGTCAATAATGTCAGTTTGATGTAACACACTTGGTCAATAATGTCAGTTTGGTGTAACACACTTGGAAGTTGTCAATGATGTCAGTTTGATGTAACACACTTGGTCAATAATGTCAGTTTGGTGTAACACACTTGGTCAATGATGTCAGTTTGATGTAACACACTTGGTCAATAATGTCAGTTTGGTGTAACACACTTGGTCAATAATGTCAGTTTGATGTAACACACTTGGTCAATAATGTCAGTTTGGTGTAACACACTTGGTCAATAATGTCAGTTTGGTGTAACACACTTGGTCAATAATGTCAGTTTGATGTAACACACTTGGTCAATAATGTCAGTTTGGTGTAACACGCTTGGTCAATAATGTCAGTTTGGTGTAACACGCTTGGTCAATAATGTCAGTTTGGTGTAACACGCTTGGTCAATAATGTCAGTTTGGTGTAACATGCTTGGTCAATAATGTCAGTTTGGTGTAACACGCTTGGTCAATAATGTCAGTTTGGTGTAACACGCTTGGTCAATAATGTCAGTTTGGTGTAACACGCTTGGTCAATAATGTCAGTTTGGTGTAACACACTTGGTCAATCATGTCAGTTTGGTGCAACACTCTTGGTCAATAATGTCAGTTTGGTGTAACACGCTTGGTCAATAATGTCAGTTTGGTGTAACACGCTTGGTCAATAATGTCAGTTTGGTGTAACACACTTGGTCAATAATGTCAGTTTGGTGTAACACACTTGTAACACACTTGGTCAATAATGTCAGTTTGGTGTAACACACTTGGTCAATAATGTCAGTTTGTTGTAACACACTTGGTCAATAATGTCAGTTTGGTGTAACACACTTGGTCAATAATGTCAGTTTGATGTAACACACTTGGTCAATAATGTCAGTTTGGTGTAACACACTTGGAAGTTGTCAATGATGTCAGTTTGATGTAACACACTTGGTCAATAATGTCAGTTTGGTGTAACACACTTGGTCAATGATGTCAGTTTGATGTAACACACTTGGTCAATAATGTCAGTTTGGTGTAACACACTTGGTCAATAATGTCAGTTTGATGTAACACACTTGGTCAATAATGTCAGTTTGGTGTAACACACTCGGTCAATAATGTCAGTTTGATGTAACACACTTGGTCAATAATGTCAGTTTGGTGTAACACACTTGGTCAATAATGTCAGTTTGATGTAACACACTTGGTCAATAATGTCAGTTTGGTGTAACACACTCGGTCAATAATGTCAGTTTGTTGTAACACACTTGGTCAATAATGTCAGTTTGGTGTAACACACTTGGTCAATAATGTCAGTTTGGTGTAACACACTTGGTCAATAATGTCAGTTTGATGTAACACACTCGGTTGTCAATAATGTCAGTTTGATGTAACACACTTGGTCAATAATGTCAGTTTGGTGTAACACACTTGGAAGTTGTCAATGATGTCAGTTTGATGTAACACACTTGGTCAATAATGTCAGTTTGGTGTAACACACTTGGTCAATGATGTCAGTTTGATGTAACACACTTGGTCAATAATGTCAGTTTGGTGTAACACACTTGGTCAATAATGTCAGTTTGATGTAACACACTTGGTCAATAATGTCAGTTTGGTGTAACACACTTGGTCAATAATGTCAGTTTGGTGTAACACACTTGGTCAATAATGTCAGTTTGATGTAACACACTTGGTCAATAATGTCAGTTTGGTGTAACACGCTTGGTCAATAATGTCAGTTTGATGTAACACACTTGGTCAATAATGTCAGTTTGGTGTAACACACTTGGTCAATAATGTCAGTTTGGTGTAACACTTGGTCAATAATGTCAGTTTGGTGTAACACGCTTGGTCAATAATGTCAGTTTGGTGTAACACACTTGGTCAATAATGTCAGTTTGCTGTAACACACTTGGTCAATAATGTCAGTTTGGTGTAACACACTTGGTCAATCATGTCAGTTTGGTGCAACACTCTTGGTCAATAATGTCAGTTTGGTGTAACACACTTGGTCAATAATGTCAGTTTGGTGTAACACGCTTGGTCAATAATGTCAGTTTGGTGTAACACACTTGGTCAATAATGTCAGTTTGGTGTAACACACTTGGTCAATAATGTCAGTTTGGTGTAACACACTCGGTCAATAATGTCAGTTTGGTGTAACACACTTGGTCAATAATGTCAGTTTGGTGTAACACACTTGGTCAATAATGTCAATTTGGTGCAACACACTTGGTCAATCATGTCAGTTTGGTGTAACACACTTGGTCAATAATGTCAGTTTGGTGTAACACGCTTGGTCAAAAATGTCAGTTTGGTGTAACACACTTGGTCAGTAATGTCAGTTTGGTGTAACACACTTGGTCAATAATGTCAGTTTGGTGTAACACACTTGGTCAATAATGTCAATTTGGTGCAACACACTTGGTCAATAATGTCAGTTTGATGTAACACACTTGGTCAATAATGTCAGTTTGGTGTAACACACTTGGTCAATAATGTCAGTTTGGTGTAACACACTTGAATATCTAAGCTAGAAAATACATTAAGAATTAAGACAGAAAGTCAATAATTCAATGCCTCTGTGATTTGATCCTGGAACCACTGGTTTACTAATGTGATGCTCAGCTGATTGCACAGAAGAAAAATTCTCTAGCTGAGTGGTATATTTCAGCTAGTATTTTGCTAAGGTTACAAAATAAGTTAAAAAATTAAAGATATACTCTTTATTTAAAATTTATCTTTGTTTTTGTGTCATAAACAAATATAACAAATGTGGTATTGATAGCACAGGATGTGAAAATATTGATCTGATATGTTATTGGTTTAGAATTATGGCATGAATCCGGAGAAGTGTCCAATTAGCTAGAACAAATGACAATCAATTTTTATCTGATCGCATGATATTTTGTTACTGCAGGGGCAGAGGTCAGGGAGGAAACCGTGGTACTGGACAGAGCCCCATGGGAAGGGGACGTGGTCGATTCCAGAGGGGGCGTGGTCGTGGAGGTCAGCGTGGCAGAGGTCGTGGGGGTATGCAGACACAGGTCAGCAAGGAGGATTTAGACAACCAGCTGGACGTCTACATGTCCAAAACCAAAAACTACCTTGATAATGAACTGGATGCCTACATGCAACAAAGTGATATCTGAATTTTTGGAAACAGAGGAATGTCTTAGAAAAGTCTCATAACATTGGGAAAGTCCTTGAGAAACAAGAGGGATGTTATAGAATAGTCTTGTGGGAGAAACATTGAACAGGGATGTGGAAAAAACATCTAAAATGTTAGGAGTACATAGAAAGGACATTTGTGATAAAATTGCTGATTAGGTTGGAAAAGTGATCAAGGTGATATAAAACCTAATGATGGAATACATTGACATGTGCAAAGATTAAGAATTTCTCCATTTATTGTGTAACAGATATTGGAGATCAGCAGGTTATATCTGGGCTTGTTCACGTTTGTATGTATATTTACTGGAAGAGATATGGATAGGTTTGTGTCCAGCTGGTATGATAACTTGTGCTGGAGATGGTGGTTGTTACACATTCAAGTGATTTTTAATGTATAAGTCAGAAAGTACTGAAATGAAATGTAAAGGGCTATCTTCTCTATGTATTCAGTAAAGTTAGAAGACCAATGTTAAAAATCTTAAATGTTTCTATTAATTTATTATCACAAAAGATTGAAATGTCAAGTTTAAGTTTTAATGATTCTGTTCAATTAAACTTGGAGGACATTAGTTAGACTGTTGATGACAGCAGTGATGTGTAATGTTATATCAGATAAAACAGTTGATTAACAATATATTAATGCTGAGTCTAAATGTTATGATCTTGTATTGAATAGAAACCATGTCCTGTTTTATGTATGTGTTAATACCTTGACTACACAATCGGTTACATTTCTACCACTTTTAAGTTATGAATTTTGAATGTATTTATAATTGAGTCTTAATTCGAAGGTCAAAACTAATGAAATATGACCTTGCTACATTCATAAAACTGTCATCACATAATATATACAGATATACCCTATTTTACAGTGAAGCGTTGATGATCAGATCAAAGTAAATTGGGATGTATAGTACAAATGCACAGGTAGAGGATACTGAAAGTTGGTTTAAACTGTCTAGTACTCAAATTTTGCCATTAAACATAAAATTTTAAAGGGAAAATCAATATTCAGAAAGACAAATACTCCAAAGTTCCTTTAAATGATGTACTTAACAAGAAAAGATTTATGTAGAAAACTTCCTTGTACAAACCACAAAGAATATAGTATAATGATAAAAACATCACATAATGTCTAGTTTTGGTATCCACGAAAGTTGTAACACTTGATATGATGTCTTAGGATTATTGTAAACTTGTATACATACATTTTAGCGACAAATTATTGACATGAATCTAGCAGCAATTATTGGAAATACCCAAATTCATTTTTGTAATTTTGTTCAAAAATTAATATTGTGCTAATATTTGATAGTGCTTAAGTTTAAATTAAACTGCAAAAGAAGAGAGCCCACAAATTTTTCATTCTATGCAGTTGTTGAATTGAATTGTTTTGCTGTCCAGCAGTTGGGGGGGATCGTGGTTTTAAAGTGAAATGACAGATTATCATAGACAAAGTTAAGTATATTGGATAGAACAAATTCAGGTTTAGGTAGCAGTGTACAGTAGTTTGTTAAATGGTGATATTGTTGTTACAGTATAATCTAAAGACATTATTTTATCCTTCCATAACCAGTGGATACCTTTTGTTTTTCCTGTCTTTATATTTGAAGCCGTTTATTAATTGTATTTTCTAATCCCTGAAATCTTTTAAATGGGATATTTTTATGCACACATACATAGAGAATCCAGCTATTTACAGTTTTTTTACCAATTTTCCACTTAGGCCACACGGGTGGCTAAAATGTTCAGGAAAAAACTGGTGCTAACACACGATCTCTAGCATTTCAGCGTGGTGTAGATTGATCAGTGACTTTTGTGTCTTGGATATTTAAGTCGTGTGCTTTTCCTGTAGGAAAGGCCAAATTTTGAGACCCCAATATATCTCTTTGTATTCGGACGTCTCCAAATTTTGAAATTGATGTTCTGGTTTCATTTTTAAAAATTCCTGCAGAAATTATTGGTCTTTGGTTAGTTTATTACTGGGCATAGACTTATTGTCATAAACACATCTGTGTGTGAAAGGTCACACCAAAGCTTGGTTTTTAGGAAGCAGGAAGTAAATCAGGTGAAAATTATCCAAAATGAGGAAAGATAATGTAATATTTTGGTCAATAGTTTTTTGAGCTATAGATGTACATCATTTTGTAATTTTGGGAAATTTTTGGAATTTTTACTAGGAATACTTGAATATACTTTGTAAATGTTTTATGTAGAATTGCTAATAAGTAATGTTTGAAATGCTGTCTATGATATAGATACTAGATACAATGGTGATAATTAATGTATATAGATATCATCTGGAGATTGTTTTAGTAGTAATATCCTTGGTGTCTATTGTGATGAAATACTTCTGTGTTCCATTGAATACTAACTTATTTCTGGGAATAAAACTTATTTCTGAAAATAGGTTGTGAAATAAGATAGTGTAGAATTATATAATTTTGTGGGGTTAAAATTTCACGATTTTCCAAAAACAAATTTTCGTCGGCACCTGATGTCATGATTTAGTCTTTATTCTGGAAATATATGTCAACTTTTGTCTATTATTTTGGGGAATTTTTTGTTATTTAGAGTACCCACAAAGTCAATGTTAATAATTCTATATAAAAATTCCAGATGTTTCAGTATATGATTTATCATAACACTTATAACTAACTAAAAATGTCTTACAGTGATTGATTCAGTGCAATATATATCCAAAATATATGAATTAGGCTTCATTATTCGATTTCACATTTTTATTTTCTTTATCTTCTTAAAAACATTTTTTTTTTTTTGTAGTTGTCTGCGAGATATTGTTTATGATACAAATGGCGCTATGTTAAAAAACATGTATATATCATATATATGTAAAATGAACGTATGTATGAATGTAGGAAAATCTGATAAAACTCTGAAAGGAATAAACTTCTCACCATAATTTAGTTCACAGCCTATTATCTAAAACACAAATTATCCATTAATTTCTAAGGGTTAAATTTGATCCTAGAGTCCTGAGGTTTGGTTTACTGGATTAGTCTGTAGTATACTATAATGGCCCTTCTTTGACCTTTGTATAACCATGGTTAACAGTGGAGATGTATGGTATGGTCACCAGTGATGACAAGATCAACCAGTGTGTGGCCTGGTTTACAAATGGTCTGCGGCATGGTTAACCAATGGTGTCGTGTTACCTTTCAGTTTCACTATGAGATGTATGATGGGTCTAAAACCCAGCTTTCTACTGTATGAGATCACCTTGTTAGTTGGCAGCAGAACGTTTGACCATGTTCAGGCAGTTTGAATGATTCAAACAAAGCTTTGAATAAAAATATTACAGCTCTATCAACCCAAAACAGATACAGAATAATACAGAATATTCAGTCAAATTATTACTCATGAAATCTTCAAGAACTTATCAGATTTTTAAAAAATTACAGTTATTGACACATATTTGTGTTGGACTACTACTTCCTGTGTGATGAATCCATCTGCTGTAAGTTTCTGAGATAGATCAATTCTCATTGAACAAGTCGTTCAGACCATTTGGACAAAGTGAAGCTGTTCCTTAGTGAGCGGTTAGTAGTCTTCTACTGACTTTGTTTAGTCTTTTATGTGAAATTTTGTAGTCATTTTGTTGTTTGTGTGCTGCTTTTTGCCTTCAAGTCTTACTTAGTATTAGTGGAGGTGTTGGCTGTCGATTAAGAGAGTGTTAGGATGTGTGAGAATGAGAGAGAAAATGATGTTGAAACCATGATTGTAGTAAGATAACATCTGTGATCACATATTTGTGTGTCACTCGACAGTTTCTTCAAAGAATGTATGTAATATCATATTTCATTATTATTTAACTGTTAAACATTACATTACATGTAGACCCTAATAAAAACATTTCATAATCTGTTAGAAATCAGCTTTCGTTTTTGTGTACTGAAAATTTGTTGATTTACATATTTTGTCAATGTTAATGTCAACATAATGTCTGTATTTGTCTATCCAGCTAATATCATTGTCAATGTTAAAAGGCTATCCAGCTAATATCATTGTCAATGTTAAAAGGCTATCTAGCTAATATCATTGTCAATGTTCAAAGACTATCCAGCTAATATCATTGTCAATGTTAAAAGACTATCCAGCTAATATCATTGTCAATGTTAAAAGGCTATCCAGCTAATATCATTGTCAATGTTAAAAGGCTATCCAGCTAATATCATTGTCAATGTTAAAAGACTATTCAGCTAATATCATTGTCAATGTTAAAAGGCTATCCAGCTAATATCATTGTCAATGTTAAAAGGCTATCTAGCTAATATCATTGTCAATGTTCAAAGACTATCCAGCTAATATCACTGTCAATGTTAAAAGGCTATCCAGCTAATATCATTGTCAATGTTATTAGACTATCCAGCTAATATCATTGTCAATGTTAAAAGACTATCCAGCTAATATCATTGTCAATGTTAAAAGGCTATCCAGCTAATATCATTGTCAATGTTAAAAGACTATCCAGCTAATATCATTGTCAATGTTAAAAGGCTATCCAGCTAATATCATTGTCAATGTTAAAAGGCTATCCAGCTAATATCATTGTCAATGTTATTAGACTATCCAGCTAATATCATTGTCAATGTTAAAAGGCTATCCAGCTAATATCATTGTCAATGTTAAAAGGCTATCTAGCTAATATCATTGTCAATGTTCAAAGACTATCCAGCTAATATCATTGTCAATGTTAAAAGACTATCCAGCTAATATCATTGTCAATGTTAAAAGACTATCCAGCTAATATCATTGTCAATGTTAAAAGGCTATCCAGCTAATATCATTGTCAATGTTAAAAGACTATTCAGCTAATATGTCAATGTTAAAAGGCTATCCAGCTAATATTGTCAATGTTATTAGAATATCCAGCTAATATCATTGTCAATGTTAAAAGACTATTAAGCTAATATGTCAATGTTAAAAGACTATCCAGCTAATATCATTGTCAATGTTAAAAGGCTATCCAGCTAATATCATTGTCAATGTTAAAAGACTATCCAGCTAATATCATTGTCAATGTTAAAAGGCTATCCAGCTAATATCATTGTCAATGTTAATAGACTATTCAGCTAATATCATTGTCAATGTTAACAGACTATCCAGCTAATATCATTGTCCATGTTAAAAGACTATCCAGCTAATATCATTGTCCATGTTAAAAGACTATCCAGCTAATATCATTGTCAATGTTAAAAGGCTATCTAGCTAATATCATTGTCAATGTTCAAAGACTATCCAGCTAATATCATTGTCAATGTTATTAGACTATCCAGCTAATATCATTGTCAATTTTAAAAGACTATCCAGCTAATATCATTGTCCATGTTAAAAGACTATCCAGCTAATATCATTGTCAATGTTAAAAGACTATTCAGCTAATATCATTGTCAATGTTAAAAGACTATCCAGCTAATATCATTGTCAATGTTAAAAGGCTATCTAGCTAATATCATTGTCAATGTTAAAAGACTATCCAGCTAATATCATTGTCAATGTTAAAAGGCTATCCAGCTAATATCATTGTCAATGTTAAAAGACTATCCAGCTAATATCATTGTCAATGTTAAAAGGCTATCCAGCTAATATCATTGTCAATGTTATTAGACTATCCAGCTAATATCATTGTCAATGTTATTAGACTATCCAGCTAATATCATTGTCCTTGTTAAAAGACTATCCAGCTAATATCATTGTCAATGTTAAAAGACTATCCAGCTAATATCATTGTCAATGTTAAAAGACTATCCAGCTAATATCATTGTCAATGTTAAAAGGCTATCCAGCTAATATCATTGTCAATGTTAAAAGACTATTCAGCTAATATGTCAATGTTAAAAGGCTATCCAGCTAATATCATTGTCAATGTTATTAGAATATCCAGCTAATATCATTGTCAATGTTAAAAGACTATTCAGCTAATATGTCAATGTTAAAAGACTATCCAGCTAATATCATTGTCAATGTTAAAAGGCTATCCAGCTAATATCATTGTCAATGTTAAAAGACTATCCAGCTAATATCATTGTCAATGTTAAAAGGCTATCCAGCTAATATCATTGTCAATGTTAAAAGACTATTCAGCTAATATGTCAATGTTAAAAGGCTATCCAGCTAATATCATTGTCAATGTTATTAGAATATCCAGCTAATATCATTGTCAATGTTAAAAGACTATTCAGCTAATATGTCAATGTTAAAAGACTATCCAGCTAATATCATTGTCAATGTTAAAAGGATATCCAGCTAATATCATTGTCAATGTTATTAGACTATCCAGCTAATATCATTGTCAATGTTATTAGACTATCCAGCTAATATCATTGTCAATGTTAAAAGACTATTCAGCTAATATGTCAATGTTAAAAGACTATCCAGCTAATATCATTGTCCTTGTTAAAAGACTATCCAGCTAATATCATTGTCAATGTTAAAAGACTATCCAGCTAATATCATTGTCAATGTTAAAAGGCTATCCAGCTAATATCATTGTCAATGTTATTAGACTATCCAGCTAATATCATTGTCAATGTTATTAGACTATCCAGCTAATATCATTGTCCATGTTAAAAGACTATCCAGCTAATATCATTGTCCATGTTAAAAGACTATCCAGCTAATATCATTGTCAATGTTAAAAGACTATCCAGCTAATATTGTCAAGATTAGATTATAGTGATGGAAAATAATTGACATGATGGATCCTTGGATGAAATCAGAATGTTATAAGATTGAAATTATAGTTAAATAAACAAGGCCATTCATAAAAATAAATGTAGTTATTGTTGCTATAATTGCAAGTGATAGTGTTGCCAAGTCAGAAGCCATGAACCCTTAGTAAAGAGTTTTTGCCCTTTGTTAAAATATTGTGACATGAGCATAGCTTTTACTTGTATTAAAACTTGGATCATAAAACTTTGTGTATACATCAGTGGCGTAGCAAAACATTTTTAAGAGTGTATGCTTTCAAGAGAGGATCCAAGGGCGAAGCCCCAGTTAAGGAGGTATAGGGGCGCAGTAAGGTTAAAAAAGTAGGGCAAATATATCTCAATGGAATTCGAGTGCATGTTTAAGCATACAAGCATACATTATTGCTACGCCTCTGTACATTGACCATACTAAGAGAATGTGCAGTATATCAGGTTCAGGGTATGAAACCCCTTAATTACAGAATTATTGCCCTTTGTGAACATTTTGTGTCTAATAAGGTTGTCTTTAGGGGAGCATTCATCAGTTTCATTAATACTCTTGTAATAAATCCAGCAATGGGAAGTCAGACAAGACAATGAATGGCCGGCACATGCATTGTTACTGCCGGCCAGTAATCATTACATTGGCAGTGTATGTACTGTTGTAACGGGACGGTAAATGTTAGTGTTGGGGAAGCAGTATTGGAATGACCAGCTTCCATCGGCTCACAAACGAGCTTTTTATATAATACAACCTGTCAAGAAAGATAAGTAGTAAAACACAAACACAGTTGGATTATTGTGGTCAGTAACATTTATTGAATAGTGATATAACAAGTGATCTTGTTGACCTCTAACATGTGACCCCACTTGTTGACCTCTAACAAGTGACCTTGTTGACGTTCAGTAGAACATTTTCAACAAGCTAAGCATTGATACACTCTTCACGAGGTCGAGTCTCTCAGAACTGTACAGATTACTATACTGCTACTCCTGATAGTCTAACAATCTTATGTTGAACACTCCAATAAAATACTGAGCAAAACCAAGTGTACAACCTTTACTTCAAATATTGAACTTAGGCCCATAGTATTTTGCTTCTTATATCTTTCATATCAATATTTTAATCTCCGATGCAAAAAATTAATAGCTTGAAGCAGGTGAAAATACTGCACACAAGTATCACTGAAATTCCTAGTACATTTCAAAGACGATTGAGCTGAGCAAGATTCTACATCAAACAGTAGTGTAGCATAGTTGATCATAACTACTACTAGTGCTTACACTGAGGGGGGCGTCCCAAACTACGATGGTAATAGTGGTAATTACGATTGTAATGCTGGTCAATTTTGTTAATTGCTTTAACAGAAATATTTGCTAACCATTCAAATTCTACAAATTTATTTGTAATTTTATCCAACACTTTTAACAAAAACATGTTAACATGTTTTCCCTGCCCGTTTCTTCATTTCACCATGGTCAGGTACTGGTACACAGGAACATTTTTAATAAGCCTGACATCACATTTAATCATCAACAAATTCATATCCAATCAACATAGGAAATTTAACAAGTTAACATGTAAAACAAATATTTAAATTAGTCCTGTACAAGTAGTTAATATAAACACCTTTATAGATACATCAACAACATATTTATGTACAGATATCCAATTATTGTAATTATCCTGCAATAAGGTCATCAGAAGGTCATCAGAATGACATACAGTAAGGTCATCAGAATGACATGCAGTAAGGTCATCAGAAGGTCATCAGAATGACATACAGTAAAGGTCATCAGAATGACATACAGTAAAGGTCATCAGAATGACATACAGTAAAGGTCATCAGAATGACATACAGTAAAGGTTATCAGAATGACATACAGTAAGGTCATCAGAGTCATCACAATGACATACAGTAAAGGTCATCAGAATGACATACAGTAAGGTCATCAGAGTCATCACGATGACATACAGTAAAGGTCATCAGAATGATATCAGAATGACATACAGTAAAGGTCATCAGAATGACATACAGTTAGGTCATCAGAATGACATACTGTAAGGTCATCAGAATGACATACAGTAAGGTCATCAGAGTCATCACAATGACATACAGTAAAGGTCATCAGAAGTACATACAGTAAAGGTCATCAGAATGACATACAGTAAAGGTCATCA